CCTCCGTTTCTCATGTGAGTAAAGTTATATACTCGTAAACCCTCTCTATTAATGCATTTGTTTTATTTAAGATCATGTAACTTAAGTGGATTGTAGTGGTTTTCACTTGCCTGAAGTACAGTCTGGCCACTTTCCCTAATGCTGGCGAGCTCTGGCCCTGGGGCACCTTTATAAATTTACAAACTGTCATGTCAATGTCGAAATATTGGTTTTAATCCTGTTTTTTTATTTGAGATTTGTTAATAAAGAAATCTATTTTTGTACCGTGCCAATGTCTCTGACTGCAATTTGGTGGAACGAACTTGTGCGTGCCTTTTATATGATATGGGTGGTGCGTGTATTTAAATTCTTTGGGTGAAATTCCCAAGGTGGCGTAGTCGGGTAAATCATTAATATTGTCAGATTGGAGGTCTAGCTCCATCCGCCCACCTGCCACCCGTCACAAGTGTTATGCTGGATTTCATCAATAGTCTTGCATTTACTAACACAGACTATATCTGAAGTGTTTGTAAGTAATTCGCGTTTTCCTCCTGTAGAAAAACATATAAACAATACTTAGTGGCTCAATGTATTACAGCAGTGTTTTTAAAAGACTAAACACTTTATTGATATAGTGTACAGCCAAGCACATGTGGTCAGAGTACAAACGAGTTGCAGGTGATAAATTATTAAGCGTTTTCCCAAAGTAAAGTGTGTCTGAACCAGGTCCAAGCAAAATGCCAGCAGTGTCTATAGCTCTGCTCACTCTCCGCCTTTTTGCCCTTGTTTGGTATCCCGCCATGAGTGCTATAACGAGCGAACAAAATGGTGACGGTTGGCCGCACCTACTTGTGGCTTCTTTTGCAGTCTTCAGAAACCTATGGGTAACGTCACGGATACTACGTCCATATATTTTACAGTTTTTGAATATAACTTAATAAAAGCTACATGGATGAGTTATAAAAAATTCAACCCCTCACAGTTGTCATGAAGGGTAATCAAGGCTTCATGCACCAAAGCCATCTTTTGTAGCAGGCTGTAAACATGTTTTTATCAGCTGTAAAAAAAAAAAAAGCCAATTTCCCATTGCAGTCAGAAATCACCTGGACTTCCCGGAGCCAGCCCCTCAAGGCGAGTCAATAAATTGCATGACACAAAACATTTAAAGAGTGACAGAAGTGAGACTTTTCTTCTTTTCTTGTCCATTCTTCCCTTTTTTATTTAGTTACTGATGAATTTCAGCATTGAATTAAATGACTTATTATACTCTTACGCTTGTTTTGTAGCAGAAATATGTCATTAAATTGACATGCATTTAAAAACAATAGTGCAAAATAAATATTTCTTACTGCAATGCTTCATTTTTGTTTGATGCTAATTTATTTTTCATGAAGAAAGTAGTAAACAGCAGGAAATTGACTTTTTATAGCAGATAACTCAGATTCAATCACATTCAAGGCAGCCTGATGATGAGAAATGGAATTAATTGTTAGTATTATTGTCATCATTATCATCACTGATATTTTATAATTATTAGACATTCATATTGGATTTAAATATCAATAAGTCATTATGATTACAGAATTAGTTAGATAAATATTTGTTTTTTGTTAGTTCTGATTGACGATGTTTTCAATTACAATAAATCTGTTAATAAACTATTTGCAGTGGTGCTCCTACATTCATTCTGTTGCTCCTACATTTATTCTGGTGCTCTTAAATTTTTGATGTGCTACCAAGTAAAAAAGTTCATTTCAAGCGCTGCATTAGACAAATACTGTTTTCATGTGATTTTCTAAACTAGTAGTGTTCTAAAATTAATGATTGCTTAATAATCGTGATAACAAAAAAATACATATTCAGAGATTTAAAGTGTGTGAACTGGAGTGATCAGGAGATGTTAGCTGACATGATTTGCTCCTTGTGTTCTTTCATTTGTACTTTTGTCTTCGTCTTCTTGAACATTTAATATACCTGACAACATGAGGAGAGCTCATTTAGTTCAATACCATTATGAACCTCCAAAACCGCACCAGTCATTTGTGTCAGCTCCAAAGCAGTAGAGCAAGAAGAACTCAGAGCAAGTGTTGAACATTTCTATTTACAGGAGCTCAGAAGATGTGTCTGGACACCATTGGGCTTTCTGCTGCACTGTATTCAGTTCTGCATTCTGAGTCAATAAACCCTGGGATTGCCTGCTGCTCCTCCAATTAGTAATGTGACAACACACATATGCAAATAAGATCCTTAAACAGGGGCCAATCATCTGTTAATCAATACTCTGGATTATTTATTAACTACAGGTATAGTATGAGCAGTGTGAAATATAATTACTGATAAACCATAACTCCTGTTATCTGGGGTTTAGTATCAACCAGGGTTAACATGTTCAAGCATGAAAGCTCTAATATAAAACTGTCTGACTGTAGTCATTGTTGAGTGGAGAATCATTTACCTCAGTGTCTCCAGTTTACAGTGTTGACTCTTCAGACCATCAGAGAGAAGCTTCACTCCTGAATCCTGCAGGTCATTGTTACTCAGGTCCAGCTCTCTCAGCACACAGTTTGAGGATTGTAGAGCTGAAGACAAACTCTCACAGCACTGAACAGTGAGATTACAGCCCTGTAACCTTTGTAGAGGACATACACAATATGTATGTGTTGATCTGCTGTGTTTGATAGTCTGAAGCACACCTGACTGTAGTGACTGGTTTAACTTAGTGACTTGGTTTTAGCTTAGAATAGTATGTATGTCTATGAATCTAAAGTAAATGGCTTCTTCAGATGTCTGAATAGACCAAGAATTATATATGTATATATATATATATATTTTTTTTTTTTTTATTATTATTTTTTTTTTTTCATCAAAAGAAGATCATGCATAGAGGTCCACAGGTGACAGACCATAAAACACATGAACAAAACTAAATAAATTTCCAGAGTTCTGTTTGGCATGCTGTCCAAGCTCAAGAGGCAAGAGGGGAGTCAGAGTACAGGTAGATCTTGAGATTTAAGAACACCCAGGTAATCTAGGGTGTTCCTAGAAAGGTGGGCTTCTGCTACACCTGCATCATCATGAAGGGTTTTACCAGCTGTTTATCCTATCCACAGGATCTGCCCTGGTTTACTGTACAGTAATCCCTGTCTTGGCCTTGTCCTCCTCCCTGTCCGCCTGCCTGTCAGTTTCCCACTCACCATCTGTCCTGTACCCTGTCATGGTTTCATTAACCTGCCTCTCACCCATCACCATTGTTCACTGTAACACCTCCAGCTTGCTGAACTCACTCTTGTCTTGTGTTTTCCTCTGAGAATTATCTGGGGCCTCATGTACGAAGACTTGCGTGGAAATCATACTAAAACATTGCGTACGCACAAAGCTGTAAATGTGTGTACGCAGAAAAAATTTAGATGTATGAAACACTGCGTACGCCGAATCCCACGCATATTCTTTTGTACATCAGAATGAACGTGAAACTGAGCGCAACATGAACGAGCACAAAACCCCTCCCTGCCTCTTCCCCCGTATGAATATGCTAATGAGTCTACTTTGGCAAAACTAAACGAAAAAGCAATGGCAAAAGCAAGAAAAGGAAAAACTTTGAACAGAATGTAAATTGGAGGTGCTGCTTTCGGAGGTAGACCGGAGACAAACGGTGTTATTTGCAAGTTTGTCCTTCGGAATAAACAACAAAAGAAAAAAATAGAGTGGGAGAGTTTAGCAACACAGTTGGGTCTGAGCATCGCACTGTGGATTTTTAAAAAAGAAATAGTGTGGTTTATAGCTGTAAAATGTTAAGATTTTCTTAACAGTCTCAGTGGCGCAGCTCGTAAAACGCATCTCATCATATTTTTACACGTTCGAGCATGAACTCGGTTCGAATCCAGCGGCTGATGAACTTACTCTTTATTTTCCCCGCTACATATTTAGATTTTGCCTATGTACTCTTTATCATGAGAAAGACAAGTAGGAATCATTAATAAGTCTGTGCATCAAATTTAATTTGCACATTTATTGAATGGAAATGTTTCCGATTCACTTATGCCAGTTCATCCTCAGATGGTGCCTTTATAGCAATGCGTGTGCAGTAGATTGCTCCGATTACATTGGGAAAACCGGCGACCGCTGCAAATTGCGCTTTAATGTTTGGATGGTCAACTGTATGGTATGGAAACCTTATATACCTGGTAGATGAACCAGTCTCATACAGCTGAGAAGACACTTTGTGGAGTGCAATTTAACACAACTGCCTCTAGGAGTGGCTAATGGAAATAAAACAGACACGCACCAAAAATGTGCGTACGCCAGCCATAAAGCTGGCATGGAGCTGCGCACATCCCCACGTTCAGTTCATCGTTAGTAAATCCAAACGTGAGCGATTCTGAGCGTGAAATCTGGCGTACGCAGCGTTGATACATAAGGCCCCTGGAATCTTCTCCTAGAAGGGAGCTATGTCGTAGTCCTGGTTGTCCTTGTGTTCTCTGTGTGACACCCTAGTTTTCCATGTAACCCTTTTTAGTTGGCCCATGAGAGAAGATAACAACAGATGCTGAGCAGACCTGAATTTCTTAAATCCATCTACTACACTATTTTAGAGAAGCAGGAGACACATTAAGACAACTGTACTCTTTAGATATGCTTTTACCTCTTCAATAACATCAGCTACTGCTCATAGTTAATGTAGTTTAATAGTTTATTTGCTGTTTTAAAGCAATATTTCACCTGTTTACTCAGCATCAAGGTGCCAAACCTGTATGATCTTATGCATTCTGAACACAACAGGAGATTTTTTAAGACAGAAGAAAACCATTAGGCATTGACCTCTATAGTAGAAGAAACAACTATGTAAGTCAATGGCTACAGGTTTCCAGCATTCTTCAAAATATCTTCCTTTATTTTCAACAGGAGAAAGAAACTTTTAGAATTTTTTTCACTGCCAATACATTAATCTTAAAAACACTAAAATATTGAATAATAAACAATTATTAACAGTATTTTAATGTGCTGACAATATCAATATTGTGCATGTTCACTGACATGATATTGTATTATTTAATATCAGCAAATGTCTATTTCTTAGATGATAGAGGGACTTACAGAGCTCTTTTGGAGGATTTGATGACTGCTGATAGTCTGATGAGACACTCGTCTGATCTCTGGAATTTCTGAAGCTCAAACTCCTCCAGCTCCTCCTCTGAGGTCAACAACACAAAGACCAGAGCAGACCACTGGGCAGGTGAAAGGCAAGCAGATGACAGACTTCCACTACTGAGGTGAGACTGAATCTCTTTCAGCAGAGTTTGGTCGTTCAGTTCATTCAGACAGTAGAACAGATTGATGGATCTCTCTGGGGACAGATTCCCTTCAAGTTTCTGCTTGATGTAGGCAATTATTTCCTCTTTGCTCTGGTCTCTGTCATCCTGCTGTGTCAACAGGCCTCGTAAGAGTTGTCGATTGGACTGGAGTGACAGACCGAGAAGGAAGCGAAGGTAAAGGTCCAGATGTCCATTCTTACTTTCCAGAGCCTTGTCCACTGCAGTCTTTAGGAAATCGGTCACGCCTTTATTTTTGCTTATCTGTAAAAACAATCCATGCTTCTTGTCGCTGTCTAGATTGAGATGTTGATAAAGGGCTGCAATGAACTCCTGAATGCTCAAGTGAAGAAAGCAGTACATGGTACCAAGAAGGATTCCTGTCTCCTCCTTAAAGATCTGGGTACACATGCCTGAGTACACCGATGCCTTATAGACGTCAATGCCACAGTCTTTCAGATCGCTCTCATAGAAGATCACATTGTTTCTTTCCAGCTGCTGGAATGCCAGTTTCCCCAGTGAAAGGATGAGGTTTGGATCCCAGGAGACATCTGCTGTGTTTTCTCCATCATACTTTCTTCTGCTCTGCTGGATCTGAAAGCGGAGAAAGTGTGTGTACATCTGTGTCAGAGTCTTGGGAGATTCCTGCAGTGTTTCAGCATGAGCCCTGTGTTTCAGTTTCAGTATGTTCTGGAGAACAGTGGCTGAAATCCAGCAGAAGACTGGGATGTGGCACATAATAAAGAGACTCTTTGACTGTTTAATGTGATCAATGATTTCTCTGGCCTGATTCTGATCTGTGAGTCTCTTTCTGAAGTACTCCTCCTTTTGGGCATCATTGAATCCCCGTATTTCTGTCAGCCGGTCGATACAGTCAGCAGGAATCTTACTGGCAGCTGCTGGTCTGCTGGTGATCCAGATGAGAGCAGAAGGAAGCAGATTTCCCTTGATGAGGTTCGTCAGGAGAACATCCAGAGAGACTGCTGAAGATACATCACGACACGTCTCATTACCAGCAAAGTTCAGAGGAAGACGACACTCATCCAATCCATCAAGGATGAACAGGACTTTGAATCGTGTGCTTCTTGTAAGGTTCAGTCCTTCAGTCTCTGGGAAAAACTGAGTTATGAGGTCTTTTAAACTTTGTCTTTCTTTCTCCTTTAAGTTCATCTCTCTGAATGGAAGGGGAAATATGAAGCTGATGTCTTGATTTTCTTTCCCTTCAGCCCAATCCAGAACAAACTTTTGCACAGAGACTGATTTCCCGATGCCAGCAACTCCTTTTGTCAGGACAGTTCTGATCTGCTCGTGTTGTTCAGCTGCTTCAAACAAATGTTTGCATTTAACCTGTATCTCTAGTGACTGATGACGTCTGGAAGCAGCTTCAATCTGTCTGATCTCATGTTCAGTGTTGACCTGTTCATTCGCACCCTGAGTGATATAGAGATCTGTGTAGATGTTATTCAGAAGTGTGGAGTCTCCTTGCTGAGCAATTCCTTCAAACACACTTTGATATTTCTTCTTCAGGCTACATTTAAGCTGATTAATGAAGAACAGCTCATCTAAACACAGGAGCAAAGATACAGAGAGATTTAGTCTTGACTTTTCCAGCTATATTAGTAAGTGTCAGACTGACAGATGCCCATGAGTCTCTTACCCTGGAGAGTATCAGCAGCTTGATCTTGCTTCATCTCTCTCAGGAAGAAGAGTGTGAGATCAAGAGCTGCTTCTGTGATTCTGCTTCTGTTCTCATTAAACTCCTTCACAAACTCTTGTCTGTTTTTGTGTTGTAAGATTTTCCTAAAGATTTTTAGTTGATTCTTCAGAAATCTGATCATTTTGCTCTCAAGATTCTTTGATTGAAGAAAAGAGATAAACAATGTTTAAATAAAACATTCATTAATATACAGTTGTACGTCCACAAACTACTCAATAAAGACAAAAAAGACATTATAACATGAGTCTGTTGAACGCTTAACTCTGATTGGCTGATAAACTTTCTAAGTTGTGTTATTTTCAGATAAACACACAACTAAAGCAGATTTGGCAGGTTTTGAGCACAACACATTTACATATCACTACACTGAATGATTCCAGTTAATTCACAGTCAAAAATCACATTAAAACACAACAGAAAGCTTTGGATTTGTAAGAAACTAGTTTCACACACAGGAGAAGTCTGAGGACAAAAACCTGACAAATGTCTGGAACACAACATGGTGGCTTTACCTGTGGGAACGTTCGAGGTTACAGAAGTAACCCTTCGTTCCCCGAGGAGGGGAACGGAAGTGCTATAGGTGTATTTGATCTAGAAAATCCACGTATGGTAGGATTCGGTTCAGAAGCCGCTTGTCTGAAAGAGTATTAAACAGGCCAATGAATTGGCAACGTAAGCTTGCGAAGGTGTGCTTTATTGCCAATTATCCCAGCATATAAGCACACCTGTAGCAAGCAAATGTTATCCTTTTAAGCTGAAGAGACTTTTACCAGCTAAGGGACAGTCATTATGCCGATTATTCCCTCCTCGGGGAACGAAAGGTTACTTCTGTAACCTCGAACGTTCCCCTTCGGTTGGGGAACTCTAGTGCAATAGGTGGATTTGATCTAGAAAATCCACGTATGGGAGAACTATGGAAAACGCCATAATGACTGCACCTTACCAACGCCCTCGATGAGAGGGCAGTCAAGCAAGCGTGACGTACCCAAATCATGGAAGGCGCCGTCCCCACTTCAAAGGAAGTTTTACGGAATAGTTATATTTTTTTGGGAGTCGCTAGCGTCTAGATAATTCTAGAAAATACAACAGTACGTCGGGAAGCGTGCAATCCCGGTAGGGAGGACGCTGCGGAGACCATCCACACCCAATGGGGGAGACAAAATGGAAATACATATGGACTAACCCTAAGAGGGGTAGTACGCATAAGAAGGTGGTTAGCGGATAGGGAAGGCACGGGTCCACACAAGAGGGGGGACTGAATCGTGGCGGAAAAGGCATATGGGATCACCAGTTTGGATCGCACATAGCCGGCACCTATACCCAAAACGCGGGCTGACCAGCGGGCAGACCTACAACGTAGTGGGCCAGCAAGTGACTCCTCTGCTGAGTCAGTGCTGGGGGCCACGGAGGAATCTGCAGGGCTCACCTGACGGTGAACTTTACTGACAGACAGGGAGGTGCACATTTCTCCGTGTTAGGGAAAAAAGGCACCGCAAGTGTGTTACAAAACCCCACCGAGTTGTTTCCTCAATCACCAAGGGTTACCTAGTACCCTTGAAGAAACCGGCTCCACTCTCAGATTGTAAAACCTTGCAAATGTGTTGGGTGTCGCACAGCCCGCAGCTCTACAGATGTCTGTTAAAGAGGCACCGCGTGCACACGCCCAAGAGGATGCAACGCTTGGGCACATAACCCGGGCGGGGTCTCAGGATAATGTGAGAAAAATCCGGCCCGAATTCCAGGCACGAGTCACTGACTGAAAATGCCTCCAGGTCCATGACCCTCTTAATGGAAGCCAACGCGACCAGCAGAGCTGTCTTCAGGGACAGAAATCTTAAGGATACTGACTCGAGTGGCTCAAAGGGATCTGTGCGCAAGCTCGTGAGAACGAGGGCGAGATCCCAAGAGGGCATGAGAGGGGGGCGAGTTGGATTAATTCGCTTAGCGCCTCTGAAGAACCGGATGATGAGGTTGTGCTTTCCCACGGTGCCGCCAGCTACCGCGTCATGATAAGCGGAGATGGCAGCCATGTAAACCTTGAGAGTGGAGGGCGACAGCCTGCTCTCCAGCATCTCTTGAAGGAAAGAAATCACAACACTGATCTGGCAGGTTCGGGGGTCTTCTCTGCGAGAGACACACCATTCAGTGAATAGACTCCACTTCAGGGCGTAGGCGCGCCTCGTGGAGGGGGCTCTAGCCTGAGTGATGGTATCAACCACCGCAGACAGTAGGCTACCTAAGTCTTCCTCGAGTCTAAGGACCACACGTGGAGGTTCCAGAGATTGGGGCGAGGGTGCCAGATGGTGCCCTGTCCCTGAGAGAGTAGGTCCTCTCTCAAAGGGACCCGCCAGGGGAGGGCCGTTGCGAGGAGGGAGAGCTCTGATATCCAGGTCCGGTTGGGCCAGGGGGGCGCAACTAGCAGAACCTGCTCCTCGTCCTCCCTGACCTTGCACAATAGCTGCGCAAGCAGGCTAACTGGGGGAAACTTGCGTGTGCCCCGAGGCCAGCTGTGGGCCAGTGCATCTGTGCCGAGAGAGCCCTCGGTCAGGGAAAAAAACAACTGGCAATGAGCATTCTCCGGAGAAGCAAACAGATCGATCTGGGCCTCCCCAAATCGCGCCCATATCAGCTGGACAGACTCGGGGTGGAGTCTCCGTTCTCCAAAGTGTATTTGCTGCCGTGAGAGCGCATCGGCTGCATGGTTGAGCATACCTGGGATGTGAAAGACCCGCAGCGATTTTTGCTGCGGATGACTCCAGAGGAGCAGGCGGCGGACGAGCTGAGACATGCGGCGAGAGCGCGTATCCCCCGTGCGGTTGACATACGCTGCCGCCGGCATACTGTCCGTCCTGACCAGCACGTGTTGCAGCTCCAACACCGGAAAAAAGCAGTGGAGAGCGAGGAACACTGCCAACAGCTCTAGGCGATTGATATGCCAATGCAGCTGGGCACCTTTCCATAGGCCCGCAGCTGCATGCCCGCGACACACGGCTCCCCAGCCCATGTTGGAAGCATCTGTTGAGACAACAACATGACTGGACGCCTGTCCCAGAGGCACATCGGCCTGCAGGAACGAGGGGTCGTTCCAAGGGCTTAGGCGCGGCGACACAGCGCAGTAACAGAGACTCGGTGTGTGCTCGCATGCCATGTGCGTCTTGGGACTCTATCTAGAAGTCAGTGCTGAAGTGGTCTCATATGGAGCAATCCGACCGGCGTGACAGCCGCAGCAGATGCCATATGCCCCAGTAGCATCTGAAAGTATTTCAGTGGGACCACTATTTTGCTGTCGAGCTCCCTCAGACAGTTTAGCAACAGGCGAGCGCGCTCTCCGGAGAGGAGCGTTACCATGGTGACCGAGTCCAGCTCCATCTCGAGAAAAGAGATCCTCTGCACTGGGGCGAGTTTGCTCTTTTCTCTGTTGACCTGCAACCCCACCAGGCGAAGGTGCCAGAGCACCTTGTCTCTGTGCATAATCAATTGCTCCCGCAAGTGGGCTAAAATCAGCCAGTCGTCGAGATAATTGAGTATGCGGATGCCCGCAAGCCGAAGGGGTGCTAAGGCACCCTCCGAGAGTTTGGTGAAGACCCGCAGAGATAGAGAGAGCCCGAAGGGGAGGACCTTGTATTGCCACGCTCGACCTTCGAACGCAAACCGCAGACACTGGCGGTGGTGTGGAAGAATGGAGACATGAAAATACGCATCCTTTAGGTCTATGGCTGCAAACCAATCCTGAGGACGAACGCATCGGAGAATGCACTTCTGCGTACGCATTCTGAACGGCAGCTTGTAAAGACAGCGGTTCAAAACCTGCAGATCTAGGATTGGCCGTGACCCACCGCTCTTTTTGGGTATGATGAAGTACGGGCTGTAAAGCCCGCTCTCCATCTCGGCTGGAGGGACCGGCTCGATTGCACCCTTCGCCAAGAGGGCAGCAATCTCCTCTCGCAAGATAGGGACGGACAGGGGGTTGACCCTGGTGAAATACACGCCCGTGAACTTGGAGGGCCGTTTCGCGAACTGAACCGCATAGCCGAGTCTGATTGTGCGTATGAGTCACCGCGAGGGGCTGGCCCACGCTAACCAGGCAGGCAGAGCCCTCTCTAATGGCGTAATCGCTACAACCGCTGATGTACCAGTGGTGGGGCAGCGCAGAGCAGGTGTGCTGATCCGGGAAGCGTGAGGGTCCCGCGGAAGAGCTGGAGGAGAGCGATTCGCTCTGGCTCCGCACCCTGATTCCGGAGAGGGTGCTCGAGGACTGGGGGAAAGGAGACCGTCCCCCCAGCGCCCGTGAGCCACTGGCAGAGCATGTAGACCCTGCAAGTGGTGCGTCCCAGACTGGCAGGGTTCGAGCTGTCACATCCGGGGAAGGGGAAAAGTGCTCTTTCAATGAAATTTTGGTGGCACTGAAAAGTACCGTTGGAATATGGGCCCCGCCCTCCAGCGGGGAAAGAGCAAGTTTCCTCCTCTCCGGCTGGCTACCGGCTTCTGACGTGCTGGACGCACCCGCTTCGCCGGAGGCGGGGCAGCACTCGTTGGCGGGCACCCTCGGCGAGGAGTAGCGGAGGTGGATGGCTTGGTAGGCGAGAAAAGAATCAAGAAAGCGAACTTTGTCGACATCGCGCATATCAGCCAGGTTTAGCCAGAGGTGGCGTTCCTGGACCACAAGTGTGGACATCGTCTTCCCCAGCGCACATTTAGTAGACTTAGTAGTCCGGAGAACATAATCGATCACGGTGCGCAGCTCGCAAGCCTGGGTTAGACCCACCCTCGTGCAGCTAGGCCAGTGCCTGCGCTTGGTAGCGCTGGTAGGTGGCCATCGCATGCAAGGCGAAAGCAGCCTGGCCCGCAGCCTTGTAAACTCTAGCTCCGAGGGAGGCAGATAACCTACAGGCTTTGGACGGGAGACAGGGCGGACCCTCCGATGCCGCGGAGGACATCTGGTCTCTGGTGTCTGCGAGCGTGAGAGCTACCATCTGGTTAAATCGACCACTCCCAGCACCCGAAGCTTGGATGGAGGAGCGGGAGGTCCGCGAGCCCTTAGGCGGCAGATTATCTCCCGCTGAGACCCTCAGAACTGTCCGAGCGCCCGCTGCAGAGCAGGAGGCGACTGGGGTGGCTTGCTCTCTTACGATAGTTAGCCGCGATCTCAACTGCGCAACGGCATCGCAATGACATGAACTTCCCCCGAGCACCACATTAACATGCTGGACCCCCAAACATGTAATACAGTGATCTGCCCATCATCCGGAGCCAGGAAACCCCTCCAACCAGAAACGCACAGTCTAAGCGCCATCCTGAAAAGGACGTGCTGCACGACTGTGTTGCTCTTTTAGGAAAGTTTGCAACTATACGCACCGCTCTGGAGGACTGGACCCAAAGAAACGCCAGGCAAGGGAGAAACCCAGCTCAACCGTCTGCCGCTGCGTAGACTTGCTCTGGACTGGGAAACACTCGTTCACTCAAAGTCGCTGTAGCAGCAAGATGAACCCTCATGAACTCGATCAGAAAAGTCTCTGAAGCGAAAAGGATGGCGTTTGCTCGCTCCAGGTGTGCTTATATGCTGGGATAATTGGCAATGAAGCACACCTGCGCAAGCTTACGCTGCCAATTCATTGGCCCGTTCAATACTCTTTCAGACAAGCGGCTTCTGAACTGAATCCTCCCATACGTGGATTTTCTAGATCAAATCCACCTATAGTACTGGAGTTCCCCAACCGAAGGGGAACATCAGCATCCCAGCATACAGATTTCAATTATTACATTTAGATTTAAAAGAAGTCTAACAGGTGTTTACCAACAGCCCAAACCTAAACTAGTCATCAGATATGCAGCAGTGTGAAGTCTGTCTAATCTGTGTATTTGATGACTAGTCTAGTTTTGGACTATAGTTAGATGTTTATTCGATTTTTAGGTTTATCATTTTACGTGCATTACAGGTGTGAAAACAATTTTTGAATAATTCAGTGAACTGCAGTCAATTATTCCTCACTTGACAAATACTTTTTAATTCCTAAAACTTTTAATTACATGAAAAATGACAGTTACAAATGAAAGGTGTTGCAGAAGCAGGATCTTTTTCAGTGACCATTTTGTGTGTTATATTTACAATTTAAATATGAATCAAAATGAGTTTTTCCTACCTGGAAGATCCACTGGAGATTGTCTGTGAAACTCTTGTGTCTCCTGTGAGTCTCGTCTCCTGAATCTGATAACTCATATTCAACACTGTTAACAGATAAAACAACTGTAATTATACAATTTGAGGCAAACAGATACAGATATATCTTACAAACACTGAAATTAATGAATATTCTGTATAGTGCTGCTCATAATAAGGAGACAGTCGAGATCGTGGATGGTGTGGTCCAATCGGATCACTACGGTGTCATGTATTACATTTTTTCCAATGCTTCATTTAGATATATTTACAAAACAGTTAGGTTATAAACATCTTCAAAACACAAATCATAGAAATAATATTTGAAAAGGCATGACATTGAGTAAAAGATGACATGAGCAATCTTTTTTTTAATACTGACACTGAATAAGAAACTAAATCTGCCACTAGGTGTCTGTAAATGAGTCACCAAAGTCATTGAGTCATTGGATTCATTTACACAACTGATTCGTTCAGGATTGGCTCTCTTTACTGAACTGTTGGTTCACAATACTATGCCTGAAACAATCCATGTGTGAGCAATAATGTAGAATACTAAATACCTTCGGGCAGATGATGGTGTTTTCTCTCTGAGGTTTGGTGGAGGACGATCCATTGACCTGTTACTCTTGAGAGACACAGAGCCAGACACACATGATCCTGATCTTACACTGAACACACAAACACACCAGAGGAATAAACTGCAGACAAACTTCAGTCTCCTTTAAAAGTGTATTAAAACTGACAAAAGAGAAAATTATTGGGAAAAAAACACATTTCACCCGGCACCAAACTAGCACGAAGTAACTCTTAGCTCAAGGTCTGGCTGATCAGGTTTGTTAAACAGATTAGACTTACAGTGCGTACGGAAAGTATTCAGACCCACACTGTGTTCTGTTGCAACCATTTGCTAAAATCATTTAAGTTCATTGTTTCCTCATTAATGTCCACACAGCAGCCCATACTGACAGAACAACACTAAACTGTTGATGCTTTTGCAGATTTATTAAAACAGAAAAGCTGAAATATCACATGGTTCAGAGCCTTCTCACTGAACTCAGGTGCTGTTCATTTCTTCTGATTCTCCTTGAGATGGTTCTTCCCCTTCAGTTGAGTCCAGTTGTGTTTGATTACACTGATTGGACTTGATTAAAGCCACACATCCGTCTATATAAGGGCTTACAGCTCAAAATGCATCTCAGAGCCAATGAGAATCATGAGGTCAAAGGAACTGCCTGAACAGCTCAGAGACTGAATTGTGGCAAGGCACAGATCTGGCTAAGGTTACAGAAACATTCCTGCTGCACTAAAGGTTTCTCAGAGCACAGTGACCTCCATAATCCTTGAATGGAAGATGTTTGGGATGATCAGAACATTTTCTTGAACTGGCTAAACTGAGCTGTTGGGGAGAAAATCCTTGGTGAGAGAGGTGAAGTAGAATCCAAAGATCACTGTGGCTGAGCTCCAGAGATGCAGTTGGAAGATGGGAGAAAGTTGTAGAAAGTCAACTATCACTGCAGCCCTCCACCAGTCAGGGCTTTATGGCCCAACAGAAGTCTCTCCTCAGTGGAGTTTCCTAAAAAAACACCTGAAGGACTTCACAATGGTGAGAAATAAGATTCTCTGGTCTGATGAGACAAAGATAGAACATTTTGGCCTTAATTCTAATCGGTATGTGTGGAGAACACCAGACACCAGATCACATGTCCAATACAGTGCCAACAGTGGAGCATGGTTGTGGCAGTGCTTCAGGACATCAGACTGGGGCAAATCTTAAACTTCCAACAACACAATGACCCTAAGCACACAGCTAAAAGAAAACAAAGCAGTGGCTTCACAACAACTGTGACTGTTCCTGAATGGTCTAAGCCCTGACTTAAACCCAATTGAGCATTTCTGGAGACAGCTAAAATGGCTGTCCACCAACATTTACCATCCAACCTGACAGCAGAGGATCTGCAAGGAGGAATGGCAGAGGATCCCCAAATCCAGGCGTACATGTGGTAAAGAGCGCATGCCCTTCCAGCTGCAACCCATCACTGGGAAACACCCATACACTCACACTCATAACATGTGATATTTCATATAACAAAAAAGTAAACGATTCTGTGTTTTTCTTTCAATATGGGTTGTCGTGTTTTCATTACTGAGGAAAAATAACTTAAATGACAAACTGGATTAAGCAACATTTGTGAATAAAACAGAGTCTTCATCCAAAGAGTCAGAGAGAAGAAAATTGTCACTTTCTCCTGACCTGGCACTACATATCAGCCAGAGAAATGCAGTTTTGTGAAGCCACTGTAGGCCTTTTTTCTTCTATATTAAATGAGTTGTGCCTCAGAAGAGGAAACACAATGGACACTCTGCGGCTTTGTCCATAAATGTCATCCCATCATCACATGATCTGTTATAACTTAATCACATGACTTTATTGATGCACAAGCTGGAAATTATTGTAAAATCATAGTCTATGTATATAATCCGAAATGTCCATCATGTTTTATTCATTCATTCATTTTCTTTTTATCTTATTTCATTTATTAATCTGGGGTCGCCACAGAGGAAAGAACCACCAACTTATTCAGCATATGTTTTACGCAGCGAATGCCATTCCAGCTGCAACCCATCACTGGGAAACATCCAAACACACATATTCACACTCATACCACATGTATTGGTACTGTGAGGGAAACCGCATTTCAGATAATGCAAGTACATAATTTAGCAAATATATAACACGTTATACCTGTTTCATTGTATTTATGCTATTGTTTATGATCCATTTTTAGGCATCTGTTTTATTTATGATCATTCAATGTCTAAATAATGTATTAGAACTTAATATTTAAACATTTAATACAAAGTTTATACACAGATGCATATTTCTGAACAATAAAATCTCATGATGAATACTGAAATATTTGCAAACAGTCCATGTGAGATTAATAAAACACACACACAATACCTTTGGGCAGGTGATGGTGTTTCCTCACTGAGGTTTGGTGGAGGACGATCCATTAACCCGTTACTCTTCAGAGACACAAAGCTTGACACACATGATCCTAATCTCACACTGAACACACAAACACACCAGAGGAATAAACTGCAGGACGAGCACATTTAAATACATTTCTAGTTGACCTTTATTTAATCACCTCCATAAGCACAAGCTGAAACTGTTCTGCAGTCAGTTTTAACTCTGATGTTGAACAGGACATTAAACCTGACACATGACACACATTAAGCTCTGGTAAATATGAACACAGATGAAGCTGTCTGTAATCTAGAATGATCTAAACACATTTGCTGAAGCTGTAAACTGAAGCTTTGTCCATCATTTGATCAGGCAATAGCAACACAATTAAGTGTATTGTTGTTTGTCTTTGTTCTTCAGAGAAAGTGTTGAAATAATGGTGTAAAAACAGAGTCAATACCTGTGTTTCTCTGAGAGAGAGTCCTTTACTCGCTCCTCTGCCATACTGCAGCTAAAACACCTATGCAGACAATAGCAGAGCTTTCAGGAAACAATCATACTATATATATATATATATATATATATATATATATATATATATATATATATATATATATATATAGTCCTTAACATGAATGCAGTTGGTTTAACCCCTGATCTGACATCCCAGCTGTTTCACATTTGATTTAAGATAAATGCATTATATATAGAGTTTATCAAGAGAAGTTCAGGTTCAGCTAATTGTTGATTTAGTTAGTATTAAAGTGTCTCTCTACTAAAGAGGCTCTTTGGTTAATGAGTTACTCTGACAGTAAAGGGTTAAATGCAGTGTTGTTTACATTTACATTTACATTTAGTCATTTAGCAGACGCTTTTATCCAAAGGTTGTTTAAGGATCGTCAGCTTGTTGTTTTTCAGCAGCTTTTCTTCCTGTTCAACCGGAAGGTCTGCTTTAACTTTACTTTTGATTTGGTGACTCTGAATGTTTAGAGTTATATTTAATGCTGAATTTTTGGACACTATTGAGTAGAGCTGTGAACCTACACTAGTCTCATGGTTCGGTTCGGTTACGATTATCATGCCATCGATTTGGTTCAATTCGACGGTGCTTTCCATACACAGTTTTATATTTTCTTCACAGCAGCATTTCTTGTATTAAAATGTATGAATATATTTATATTTATATGCTATTTGTAATACAATTTTGTCATTTAATACAAACAGTCAGATATATAAACTGTAACTTTAAACAACACGAGCATTTAGCAAATAATATAAACAAATATAAATATCCAGCTCAATTTCTGATCCTTGTCTAGTTCTCTTACACCCCTTTGATTGGTCACACCCTCAAAAAAAAAAAAAAACGGTTGCGATTGGCTCTTGCGTGCTGCGTTCTTCACAGATGAGTGATGCTGATAAAGGCTAGTTCACACTACAGGATTTTAAACATCAGCAGATCGCTGTGCCGTTCACACTACATGACTTGACTTTGTGTCTTTTAATCTCTGAGGTGTTCACACTACGCAACACTCTGTGAATGATCCACAAGAGGGGGGTCACACACTACATGATCTGACAACAACTCATTCCCCATCAGCTCATTCAAGCTACCAAACCACAGCCAATAAAATTTTGAGGGAGGAGTCGTCAGAAAAAGCTGAACACTATTGGCTGCTTGTGTGCTGATGACATCACTGACAGTGTTTCAAGCTTTGTAGAAAGCATTTAAAAACATCGTCAAATCAGCTGATTTATCAGCGGATTAATCACTCATCTGCAAGGTTTCAGTGGATAGATACACAGAGAGTTTTTAATTTTTGCAATTTTATAACTCTTTGAAATAAAACTAACATATTTATAACACCCTGCCGTTTTCTAACTATCAGTGTATTTCTTTCTAACATTGTTATTTTTTTTATTACAAAACAGTAAAGAACTGAGCATTTCTGCCTTAAATTACCATATTGGTCAAAATGACTGCATGCATGTCTGATACTTTTCACTGTGATTTTAAATATGTGTGCATTTTCTTGCCTAGCAATTTTCTGCTAACATAAACAAAACTTTCTGATGGCAAAAACATCAATTTACTTCAGATATCTTTCAAAACAGCATATTCTGTGCTGTTAAATAGCTCCTGTTTGAAAGTGAAAATGAAAGCCAAGACCTTCAAGTGTTTTAGTATCTTATCTACATATTTATAGGCTGTATTACCAAAAAAAGGTTATATTTTTAGGGTAATGGTGTCATTAAATATGATTCCAGACATTCAAAGCTTAATTTTAATATCTCAATAATAGCTTTAAATGTAAATATGTTGTGATAATAAGGCGTTTTATATAAGAAACGGCCAGAATGAGCAGTATGGTAATTCTAATAGTTACAGAATTCTAGTTCCACTGTTAATATATCCTACTCTCATGTCTGTGCTAACGCAGAATGAAGCGAGTGCACCGATGCCCATTCTGACCAATCACAGATGTTTCTGCTGAGCTCCTGAGCACACAGACATTCAGCTCATGCTGATATGGTCTCTCATTGGCTGCAGCTCGTCACTACATCTGACCACACGTGGGGTTGAGTCGGCCGACGGCTCTGGAATATTTAGCATGCTAAATGTTGGATTGCCGTCTCCGAGGTGTCGGCGACACGTCAGCGAGCCTCGTTGCTGCGTTGTTCAGTAGTTCACACATAAAGAGCGGCGAGCACCGAGCACCCGCAGATTTCTTCCCGATCACAGCCCGATCTTTCGGCGAGCTCGTTAACTTCCAAATCGTGCTCAAATCAGGCTTAAAATCCTCTAGTTTGAACTAGGCATAAGCAGCAGGCGGCAGCGGCGATCTCACAGCTGATGTATGATAGACACGGTGGAGAAAAGTCTGCAGACACGTGCTTGTTTCTGGATGCAAAAGTAATGCTGTAAAACACCCGCTGTAAAACAGCCGGGCTATAAGAAAAGCCACGCCAGCAGGTGAAATGGGCCACTATTTGTGTGTGTGAGAAAGAGAGAGAGAGACAGAGCGCGCGCACGCGAGAGAGAGAAATGGAGTAGGCTACTTTCATTCTCTCGATCTCAGTGACATAGGGGCTATTGTTGTATATGTCAGTGAAAGACTGATCCAGCAAACACACACAGTGAAATTGTGCACAGTTTATGAGTTTTAAGTAGTTAAAGTGCTGTAAATACTCGCGATCGCCTCCCTCGCGACAGAGCGCATATGAGGTAAATGACGTCAGTAATAACCGGTTATGATTATTACTGAACCGATACCGAATTGTCTGCGTCTGCATCGCAGTGCACCGAAAAAAACTATTATTTTTGACATCCCTACTATTGAGTCAGTCTGATATAGAAGAGAACAAACACTTTAAAGGGATTAAAAATAAAGCTTTTAGACACAGTGTTTAAATGACCGTGTTTGACTCAAGGCTCTATTTTAACCATCCAAGCACAAAGTGCAAAGCGCAGGGCACAAACGCATTAATGGCATGTCGGAATATAATTTTGCTATTTTAGGGACGGAAAAATCTGCTTTGCGTCATGGCGCATGGTCTAACAGGGTTAAGCTTATTCTATTAATTAGTTATAGGTGTGTTTTGAGAATAAACCAACCAGAGTCTCATCTCCCATTTCCTTTAGGGATCAGTTGCGTTGCGCCATGGTGCATTTGCTGTTTACATGACGACTTTGTCAGTGTAAAAACTGAACGCTTCACTTACGAGAACACAGTTAAACAGAGCATCTGCAACTCGAGGTTGAGAGATGGGCCTCCTTATTCTTTACTTTCACTTTCACTCTTTTGGATAGGAAAACTTCTTGTACGTGTGATAAGATGGGTGTGGTGACTGAAACTTTCACCCACCTATCAGCAGGTGGCACCCTGCTATATAAACTGGGAAGTTCACCCTTGCGGCACGTCATGTCTGACTTCAGGTCTTGTGCGTCACTTCCTTTTTTTGGGTCTCTGGTTGGCAGTGTTTGTAGGTAAGTGCGTTAGCTTTTGGCTGCTGTTAACCTGAGTTTTAGTGTAATACTAATGGTTGGTAGGGCTTTTACATAGACTGTGCACAGGTATGGTTACATTACATGCAGTGGCTTGAATAGACTGGGGAGGCGTTTCCTGGGTGATTTTGTGTAATTATAAGTACTCTGTCACTCTAGTGTTTCCTGGCCCATGTTTAATGGTCTTGTGTTGACTGAGAGACTGTTGCTTCTGATTGTTACACCTTTGGTGAGGGTTTTTGTCTAAGTCATGTGCTTTTTAAGCACTTTCTTATGATCGCGACTAACACTATTTGTTTCATACAGATCCTTCTTCTCTATTGTGAATAACGTTACGTTACTGTCGCCTTTCTGTCAAATTATATGGGTGTGTCCTGCACCGGGCATCTGTTTTAATATCCACGCCCTTCCAGCAGCAATCAGGAGCTCTGCCATCACAGCGAACGAACCGTCGCAGATATCGCCTCTAGTAGAGGGGGGTTCAGTTTAGTTGGGTTGAGTTATGTTTGGGTTGTATTAAGTTTTTACGTTTCACTTTCGTTTTGCGCGTAATTTGACTTTTTAATTTATGTGTTTTGGATGTTGATTTTGTGGTGTTGCTAGTGCTACTGCTTTAAGTTTTAGCAACACCACACATTTTGTTATTTTAGTATCTCATCTTGGTTGTATTGTTTAATTGTGTTTGATTTAGTGATGGGTCGTTCATGAACGATTCGTTCATTTTGAACGAATCTTCAATATGACACGGGAACTACGAGTCCTCTCAGGGAGTTATTCGTTCATCCGCACATCCACACATTTGTGCAGGTGGTATCATTCATTTCAAGTCTTCATTACATTTCGAGTCGTTCATCACGGAAAGGCAGAAGCCAATCATAAGCGTTTAGAGCTCTCAAGTCCTCTATCAGGTCTGAGTCACTCGGTCATCACGGGCCAATCATACGCGTTTAGAGCTGGAAAAAGAATTGAACCGTTCATCTCTCAAGTCTTCTATCTGGTCTGAGTCACTCGGTCATCACGGGCCAATCATACGCGTTTAGAGCCGGAAAAAAGAATTGAACTGTTCATCTCTTGAGTCCTCTATCAGGTCTGA